GTTGACCAGTTCACCCCTGGAGGTCAGCGTGTGACCCACTGCACTTACTCTCGGACGGGCCGCCACCTGGCCACGTTCACCCGTCGGCCAGGGTCGAGTCTGTACACACTGACTACTGCGCCTCCTCCGGTCCCTGCGTCTGGTCAGGTAGCTGCGTCCAGTCAGGTGTTTGCTGCCGCGTCCAGGTCTAGTCCTGCGTCTGCCCCCTGCTCGTGTCGTCCTCTGGCGCACGAGACTCTCCTTTGGCACCACCGCCTTGGTCACCCCTCCCTGCCTCGTCTTCGAGGTATGGCCTCCCGTGCTCTTGTCTCTGGACTCCCCAGGTCCCTCCCTCCCCTTCCTCCGGGGCCTGCCCCCACCTGTGTTCCTTGTGTCGAGGGCCGGCAGCGCGCCGCTCCTCACTCTTCCTCGTTTCCTCCGACTGAGGCCCCTCTGCAGACTCTTCACATGGACGTGTGGGGCCCAGCCCGCGTCCGTGGCCAGGGTCACGAGCGTTACTTCCTGCTGGTCGTTGACGACTACTCGCGTTACACCACAGTCTTCCCCTTGCGCAGCAAGGGTGAGGTCACTGAGGTGTTGATCGACTGGATCCGCGGTGCTCGTCGCCAGCTTAGTGAGAGTTTCGGCTCAAACCTTCCTGTTCTGCGTCTGCACTCAGACAGAGGCGGGGAGTTTTCCTCCGACCTCCTGAGAGCCTTCTGTCGTTCTGAGGGCATCCGCCAGACGTTCACGCTTCCGGCCTCCCCGCAGCAAAATGGGATTGCTGAGCGCCGCATTGGCATGGTCATGGACGTCGCTCGTACGTTCATGATCCATGCGGCTGCTCCCCATTTTCTGTGGCCGTTCGCGGTTCAGTACGCTGCGCATCAGATCAACCTTCAGCCTCGTGTCTCCTTGCCGGAGACCACACCTACACTGAGGTGGACGGGGAAGGTTGGCAATGCGTCAGCGTTCCGAGTCTGGGGATCTCGAGCTTTTGTCCGCGATACTACAGCGGACAAGCTGTCCTCCCGTGCGGTTCCCTGTGTCTTCCTTGGCTTCCCTCCTGACGCACCCGGGTGGCAGTTCTACCACCCCACCTCGCGTCGTGTTCTGTCCTCTCAGGACGTCACGTTCGACGAGTCGGTGTCGTACTACCGTCTCTTTCCCTACCGCACTGCCTCTCCCCCCCCCCCGCCACTCTTCCTGGCACCAGGTACTCCCCTGGTAGACCCCCTTCCCCCCCAGTGTCCTGCCCCCTCAGGTGTGTCCCAGGTAGACCCTGCCGAGCCGGTCGAGGTAGCTGTCGACTCAGGTGCTGCTAGGGGTGCTGACCCTGCGGGTGCGGGGACTGGGGGTGCTGAGACTGGGGGTGCTGAGTCTGGGGGTGCTGAGACTGGGGGTGCTGAGTCTGGGGGTGCTGAGACTGGGTGTGCTGAGCCTGGGGGTGTGGCGCCTGAGGGTACTGTGTCTGGAGGTGCTGAGCCTGCGCGTGCTGAGTCTGGAGGTGCTCTAGGTGTCCCGTCGCGGCGGGAGCCCCTCTCTCCACAGCGGCTTCGTGAGTGGTACTCTCGGCGCTGTCGAGTTGCTGCTGGTGCTGCTGGAGCTACTGGAGGTGCTACTGGTGCTGGCGCTGCTGGAGGTGGTGCTGGTGCTGGAGCTGCTGGAGGTGCTGGAGGTGCTACTGGAGCTTCTGGAGGTGCTGGCGCTGCTGGAGGTGGTGCTGGTGCTAGAGCTGCTGGAGGTGCTGCTGGTGGTGGAGCTGCTAAAGATGTTGGAGGTGCTACTGGGGCTACTGGAGGTGCTGGCGCTGCTGGAGGTGGTGCTGGTGCTGGAGCTGCTGGAGGTGCTGCTGGTGCTGGAGCTGCTAGAGGTGCTGCTGGTGCTGGAGCTGCTGGAGCTGCTGGAGGTGCTGGAGGTGCTGCTGGAGCTGCTGGTGGTGCTGGTGCTGCTGGAGGTGCTACTGGAGCTACTGGTGGTGCTGGTGCTGGCGCTGCTGGTGCTGGTGCTGGAGCCGCTGGAGGTGCTGCTGTTGCTGGAGCTGCTGGAGGTGCTGTTGGGACTGGAGACCCTGGGGCTGAGGGTACCGGTTCTGTCTCTGCTGTCTCTGGAGGCGCTGCGCGGCCGCGGCCGTACTACGTTCCGCTCCTTCTGCAGGTTCTTGGCTCCCCGCCTTCTCCTGGTCCTCCTCCTCCTTTCCTGAGTCCACCGCCTGTCCAGTCCCAGTCGCAGTTGCAGCCGGCCTCTCCGCTGCCTGGTCCTTCTCCTTACTCTGGACCGACTAGAGGTCTTACGGAGCGTCGTGAGCCTGAGTCGCGTCCTGTGTCACTTGTGTCTCGCTCTGCTTCGCCTGTCCGTACTGTTCGCGTTGGTCGTGTTTCGCGTCCGCGTCCTCGTCCTGTCCCGGGCACTCACTTGATGACACTGCGTCCTTCTACTGCTCCACAGCGTGTCCCTCTGCCGTCTCCTCCTGCGTCCTCTCTTCCTGACGGTCCGGACCCGGAGTCTGACTCCCTTCGTGCTGCTAGTCCATCTGTCACGCGCTTTCCGGCCACTGCTGTTACTGACCCTCTGTTTGAGTCCACTGCTGCGTCTGCTCTTGTTACTTAGCTCGTTGACTTTGCTGCAGCCTGTCGCCTAGACTACGCCGCTAGTGGAGCCTCCGGCGGCCAGTCTACGGTCTCCGCCAGGCACCCCGTGAGTGGCACGACACACTCAGGACGACTCTTGCTTCTCTTGGTTTTGCTCCTTCCACTGCTGACCCTTCTCTGTTTCTACGCACTGACACCACTCTGCCGCCGTTCTACGTTCTCGTGTACGTAGACGACCTCGTCTTTGCTACTGCTGACCTTCTGCTTTGGCTTCACGTACTCCTCGCCACAGTCCACTCCTCTGCCTACCGGTCACTCGCTCTCAGCTCCACCTTCGGACAAGTCCGTAGAGCCGAGTGGCCCGTATCCAGAGCTTGTGGGCTGCCTCATGTACCTGATGACTTGCACATGACCTGACCTCGCATACCCTCTCAGCCTTCTGGCTCGCTACGTGGCTCCCGGCAGGCACCGAAAGGTGCACTGGGATGCTGCGAAGAGGGTGTTGCGATACTTGTGCAGTACATCGGGCATGGGGCTCGTGCTTGGAGGACGGGCTCGAGTTGTCCTCACTGGTCACGCTGACGCCTCCTGGGTTGACGACTTGGCTACGCAGCGGTCGTCACAGGGTTACACCTTCAGTTTTGGCTCCGGTTCTGTCTCTTGGCGGTCTACCCGTTCTTCTTCTGTTCTCAGCTCCAGTTGTGAGGCTGAGATCTACGCTGGGGCCATGGCTGCACAGGAGCTACGCTGGCTCACCTACCTGCTGACCGACTTGGGAGAGGCGCCTTGTTCTCCTCCAGTTCTGTACGTCGACAACAAGGCCATGTTGGCCTTGTGTCAGGAGCACAGACTGGAGCACAGAACGAAGCACATTGCTCTGCGCTACTTCCTTGCTTGAGAGTTGCAGCAGCGTAGCCAGCTTCGTCTTGCTTACGTGGCCTCATAGGCCAACACTGCTGATGTCTTCACCAAGGCACTTCAGCCTTGTGATCATCAGCGTTTCTGTACTGTTCTAGGCCTTGTACCTACTGTGCCTCACTTGCTGACTTCTTGACTCTGCTTGTACTGTACTCTATATACTTATACCTGCATGCTTACTCTTGCTAGGTTGTGTTCACTGTATTGTTTGCTTTCCTTTATATAACTCTGCATGTGAACTGGCCTTGTGGCCCTTTGCTTGTGCTTAGACTGCGTGGTAACTTTGTGATCCACCCTGAGCTTGCTTTGTCTTTCTTGACTGGTCTTGTGACCTCTTGTTCTCCCCCACTTTGCCTATGGGGGTGTGTCAAACTTATATCTGCTATAGTCTGTTTAGGCTGTAGTGGGGTAGTTCCTAGAGGGTACAACACTTTTGTGTTCTCTACTTGTACCCATCTCGTTTCTAGTTCAATCATTCCATTCCTCAATTCTCACAGCCAGCACATCCTGACTGGACAAGTAACTAGTCAGGTCTTCGAGAGTCAAACTCAGCGAAAATGAGATTGTACTCGCTTCAAAATTGAAACTCGCTACCGTTTCGAACAGAAAATTTAATTTAAAATTATACATGCGCTTATAATAAGTAACGTTTTCACAGGGGGTGCGCTTATAATTGAGGATCGGCCATAAGCGCATTGCTCCAGATAGAAGCGCATGCGCTTATAATAGGCATGCGCTTCTATCCGGGGTGATACAGTCAGGGCCTCAGATTCGTTTTGGCCTAGGCTGAATCGTCAGCCTTAGGAGTGAGCTGAAGGCTGATCAATCAGGGTATCCTTGAAAAAAAAAGCTGAAATTTCAGTGTTTAGTTTAGTTAAATGGCTGATCATTCAGCCTTGCATAAAAAGAAAGGCTGAACATAACTTCAAGCTTTCCTATAGCGCAACACAGTCATTCAATTTCAAAGTGTGGCATTGAGAAAAGGGTGTTAGAAACCAAAAGACGTGCTTTGACCACTTGTAATCATTGTCCCACCGCGCACACTGAAGGCCCAGGTGGGGGTTTTTGAGGCGCCTCAAAAGACGTGCTTTGACCACTTGTAATCATTGTCCCACCGCGCACACTGAAGGCCCAGGTGGGGGTTTTTGAGGCGCCTCAAAAGACGTGCTTTGACGCATGGCATGGAAGGGACGCATGGCATGGAAGGGACGCATGGCATGGAAGGGACGCATGGCATGGAAGGGACGCATGGCAAGAGGAGAAGAACCACAGGGAGGAGAGGAGATCCATGGCATACCGGGAAGGGAATGCTGGGAAGTGAGCATGAAACAAAGGTAGTGCTCTGCTGGAATGCCATGCTGCAGACTTCCTTCTCACCTGCTGCTGCTCAGATGGAGTCGAAATCACTGTAGGAGAAGACATCTCCATTTGAAATGACCGGGTGGGAGAGCGAGGACAGCAGCGCAGAGAGAGATATAGCTTCTGTTTGTACCTGCCTGCTCGGGTGGAGTTCTAATGCCAGCTGCCCTTCCCACCTGTCGCTGCTCGGATTGAGTCGAAGTCACTGTAGGAGAAGACGACGTCGACATTGGCAATGACAGGGAGGGAGAGCGACGACGTCATTGCAGGGAGTGATGCAACTGTTGTCTTCATGTTGCTACAGCCACCATCCTCACCTGTTGCTGCTCGTATGGAGCCAAAATCACTGTAGCAGAAGACGTCCCCATTGACAATAATTGGGAGGGAGAGGGACGACGGCACTGCAGGGAGTGCAACGACTGCCCTTGTCATGTTGCTACAGCTGTTCCCCTCACCTGCTGCTGCTCTAATGGAGTCGAAATCACTGTAGGAGAAGACGTCTCCATTGGCAATGACCGGGAGGGAGAGTGACGACCCCACTGCAGGGTCACTATCGCCATGTTTTGTACCTGTCTGCTTGAATGGAGTGCTAAAGCATGTTAGCACCTTCTCACCTGTTGCTGCTCGGATTGAGTCGAAGTCACTGTAGGAGAAGACATCGCCATTGGCAATGACTGGAGAGCGACGACACCACTGCAGGGAGCACAACAATCGCGGAGCTTTGTACCTGTTGCGGCCCGGATGGAGTCGAAGTCACTGTAGCAGAAGACGTCCCCATTGGCAATGACAGGGAGGGAGAGCGACGACACCACTGCAGGGAGTGCCTCCCACTACGCCTTCATTGATGGGCGGTGAGGAACCTTCCTGGAAGGACGCAGTGGAGAAGAGGGGGAAGGAGGAAGAATGAGGGCGTATTCCATCCTGGTGGCAGGGCAACTGTTCATGTAGAGTTGGTGGCAACTGCTCTCAAAAACTCAGGGGGGCGGAAAATGCGCATGCCACCAACAGTGCGATGAAGAATTGCCCTGCCACTAGGATGGAATACGCCCTGAGAGTCTCGAGAGCCACCTCTTTGGGTTACAACTTGGGGAGGAGGAGGGGAAGAGGGAGTGACGGTATCATACTTCCACAAAACCTTACTACCTTGAATGTGTGTCAATCACCTTGCATGTATCCTCCTTTACCTTGCATACCCAGATCCGTATTGCCTGCGCCTTCAACAGATGCCCAGAGGGCAAGAGGCGAAGTCAAGTGTGTGGAGGGGCGATTCCGGCAGGTGAATCTTGGCTGGGGATAGTGTACCATGCCCCCTACCAACCCCCACTTCCTTGCACGCAACCCCCTTCACCACCCTCCATTCCCCCCCTTACCTCGCATGAATGCCCAGAGCCGAGATGCCTGTGCTTTCAACAGCCCGGGCAAAGTCCAGTGTGCGGCGGGGCGAGTCGAGTAGACGGATCTTGCACGTGACTGCGATCGAGGCGGGCAGGTTGCGGCGCAGGGTGGAAAGGATCTGTAAGGGGTTGTGAAGGGTTTGGAAGGGTTTGAAATGAAAGGGGGGCTGATGGTGAGGAAAGGAAAGGATGGCAAGTTTGGTTGGGACGTCATGTGATGATGTGTGTGGGTGGCTGACGCATGGGGTTTGGGGCGAAGATAGCGAGGTCACAATCAGGATGAAATGCGAGGACGTGTGGATTCGCACGGGGAACAAACAGAAAACTAACAGGGAGACAGGTGGCATATCCGTGACTCATGTCATGTGCAATCTTTAACACGGAGAGCAGCCATGCCAGATGCGGTCACATAGTGCCACCCCCTAATATCTAAACCTTAGACCCTAAACCTGAACCTTGTAGACTTTAGATTTAAAGCCCTGGGCTTACATCACATGCGTTTTCTGGGCGGGACAGCAGAGCAGAGCCCATGCCACCACTGGTGGAGAAGGGCTTGGGGCACCCCATGTTGATGTCTATTGCTGCCACGTCATTGCAGCTGGGGGGTGGGATGAGATGAGGCATAGGGTGGACGTCCATGAGATGTCACATGGAGCACAGGGCGAGATGCGACACATGAGATGACGCTTCAGGTGACACTTGAAATGACACATGAGACGACACACGAGTTGATGGATAAGTTGGCACATGAAGACTAGTGTTGAGGGGCTGAACAAGGGCACAGGGCATAGACAGAAGGCGAGAAGGAAGAGAAGAGAAAGAGGAAGGCACGATGAGGAGGTAGAGATGATGGAATGGGTGCTAGAGAGGGGGAACTGACACCATTTCGGCAGCCCTTAAAGCCCGGACAGCATCGGCCGTGCCGATCTGGAACGCCACTCGCGTCCTCTCTGCCTCACACGTGCGGAACACCACGATGCCGGTGCTGGGCTCAACGAAGTCAACGGAATTCACAGCAGCTGGGGGACGGGAGGGTGGGGCGGGGGTGGCGGGGGGGATAAGGTGAAGGAGGGGAAGAGAGGGAACACCACGATGCCCGTGCTGGGCTCCACGAAGTCAACGGAATTCAACACAGCTGGGGCATGGGAAACGGAGGAGTGGGTGGGGAGGGGGGAGAGGGGGTGGGGGGGAGGGGAAGATAGGGAACACCACGATGCATGTGCTGGGCTCAACGAAGTCAACGGAATTCACAGCAGCTGGAGGATGGGAGAGCGAGGGGTGTGGGGTGGAGCGGAAAAGAGGGAACACCATGACGCCCGTGCTGGGTTCAACGAAGTCAACGGATTTCAACACAGCTGGGGGATGGGATGGGAGGTGGGATGGGGGAGGAAGAGGGAAGGGGGAAGAAGGGGAAGAGAGGGAACACCACGATTCCCATGCCAGGACTAACAAAGTCAACGGATTTCAACACAGCTGGGGGATGGGGGTGGGTGGATGTGGGGAGAAGAAAGGAGGGTGGTACTTCTTTTCTCTGCTTGCCAAGCCAGAGGTTGAGCCAATTGCTGGTTGCTATGAGGAACAGGCCTGACACTTACAACCCGCAGGCCAAGGAAGGCCAAATTGGTTCAACCTTCCTAGCTTTGGTTGTGTGTGACCCTGGCACCCAAAATCTTGGCCAATTGGATTGCTCGCCCCAACCAACCTTCCTAACGTTGAACTTCTTGGCCCACGGGTTTTAAGCAAAATGTGGTCTATCACCTCCTCACTGTACACCAGCCTCAATGCATGAACGCTTAAAGCCCTTAATTGCGTATACATAACACAGTTTATATCACTCACAGTTGACCACTCTCTTGCACTGTACAAAGCGGTGGTCGATCACCTCCTCGCTGTACACCATATCCGCGCCACAGTCCAGAGCAAGCAGCCGGAATGCGAGGGTGTTCTGGGCGGCACGATTAGGAAGGAAGGGTTGGGAGGGGTAAAAAGTTTGAATCGCCTAGAGACTCGAAGTTGAAGACTAGAAGTTCGGGGCCTCCGGAACAAATAAAACCCGCTTTAGGGTAAAGACGCTTTGGAAGGGGAAGGCCATGGGAGAATTGAGAGAAACACCATTACATTGTAGAAAAAAAAAACCCTGATTGAAAGAGCGTCGCTTACCACTCTAACCATGGGAGCGAGGATATTCATCCCTCTATACGTCAGCTCCCCTTCTCCTAACGGAGCTTTGCCCATTTCGTTGTAACCGGGTAACCCTGGTGCCCCCGCGCCTCCTTCGTACATGTCGTCCGTAAACACGAACGCTTCGTCCGCTTGTGGCCCACCATCAGTTAACGTTCCGTCCGCCAAGTTGCCGGTCGTCATGTCAACGGCAGCTCCGTTAGACCGAGTTTCAGATGGATACGCGTTACAAAAAGATGCTCCATCCGACGAGCTAGTGGCGCAGGAGAGCTCAATATCGGGCCTGCTTGTGATAGGAAGCGTCATGGCGACTGGCGCGTAAATCACGCGACACGAGTTGCTCGAATACAACACAGGGGCTTATTGCTGTTTACGAGCTCACATCAGAATCGCGAACATTTGGCCGCTCGTTGAAAGAACAAAAGCGGAAGTCTCGACTCTCGAGTCGGACTTTGATCGTCTAGTAAAGACTACCAACCAACCACGCTTACTGGAATTCAAGGTGAGGTGCATTCGCAGTTTCAAGAGGGATGATGATCAACCGTTGTTCGAGACTGGGTTCTCTACGTTGCGGTACGATTTAATTAGGTTCTGCGTGATTACCCTTAGTGGGGCAAAATGGAAACTGCGAAATGGTTACAAGCCTTCTGATCGTCCCCTAGTGCACTCTCCTGCTGCCCGGTTGGCGGCGGGCTGCTACTTGTGGCGGGAATTTCTCGTGAAGTAGCGGCGTTGCCAAGGTTTGGGAGCACTCGATATTCGCACTACAAAGAGCTGCGATTCAACCGCAAGACCTCAATCAAAGCGGAGACATACATATTCTGCGCAGTAAGCAATTTGAGGCAGATGCCTCCTTCACTTTCTCAGCTCAAGCATAACCCTAATCCCAGCTTCCTAAAAAACAGAAACTACGGTAACATTGATGACTGTGAGACTCCCACTATAATTTCATTACAATACAGCTAGGGATACTACAATTCTACTATCTTTGGCTTTGCCTTATTGGTTCTTGAACTCCCTCTTCCCCGCCCCCCCTTCTTGACTTTCCCCAGCCCCTTCTTTCTTTTACCGCCATATCGGTGCTGGCCTGGGTGTATATTCGGCCCCCGACCTCCTGTCTCTCCTCCGACTCCAACATGAAACACCCCACAATCCCCACCAGCCACAGCACCGTCAAGTGCACAGCCTAGAACCGCTCCCCCACCCCCACTTCCACCTGCACTTCCATCTTCCCCATCTTCCTCCATGGCTGCACACCTGTCTCCACCGCCCAGGCCATCACCCCCCTGTGCATCAGCCCTTCGTATACCACCCTCATCCCCACCATCATCACCATCAGAATCTTCGCTCTCTGATTCCAATTCTGAGTCAGAATCGCTGCTACCAACCTCCCCCTCCCCTCTGCCCACAGAGCTCCCCTGTCCAGCCCCAGACAAAGCCCTCTCTGCTGCAGCTACGGCATCAGCCGTGCGCAAGTCAACCAGACCCAGTGATAGATCCTGCAGGTGTGTGGGGGGGGGGGGGGGGGGGGGGAGAGGGTTATGAGAGCAGAGAGAGTGGTGAGAGCAGAGAAGGTGGCGAGAGCAGGGAGAGTGGTGAGAGCAGAGAAGGTGCCGAGAGCAGGGAGAGTGGTGAGAGCAGAGTGGTGAGGGAATGGGAGACTGATGAGCGCAGGGGAGAGATGGACAGCAAAGAGAGATGGGAGGAACGGCCACTGACTCATCGTCTCTACATGCTGATTCACCATTTCTTGATGCTGACTCACCATCTCTAAATGCTGACTCACCATCTCTATGTGTTGCTGTGAGTCGTCCACGGCCTCCATGCTCACCGCCTGCTGGCCCTGCTCCTGTGGTGTGATCACGGGACGGAGAGGCAGAGGGTCGAACAGAGAACAAAACATTGTGTATGAGGCGCATCAAGAATTAACTAACCGCTTCCTGCCCCTGCTCCTGTTGGTGATCAAAAGAGGTCTGGTCAGAAATGGTTGAGGAGTAAAACCAAGGGCAGCGTGTCCCAAGTCCTAATCTTCCCTCGTACCTGTATTCGCCCTGTATTCGCCCTGTATTCGCCCTGTATTCGCCCCTACGCATCTCTAAGGTTCGTTGCAACTTGTATATCATCTGCTCTCAATCTGGAGTAAATTGCCGAAATTCCGACCCCCATAACCACAACCACGTTCGTGCAATTACCTGCTTTCTCGTCACCAACTCTCACCATCCACGCCTCTATTCGCCAAACCTTACCTCCATTCGCCCCTTTGCACCTCTCTGCAACCCTCTGTACCTTTATGGCTCGCTGCAGCTTCTGGTTCTCCTGCTCCATCTGGGGTAAGAAGCCCCGCAGGCGAGCCAGCACTGGCAGCACACGCGACGAGAAAGACACATGGAGATAAGCGGGGAGATAAGTAGGGGGAAACTAAGAGATAGACTCAGGGAGATACGCAGGGGAAGGGGAGGTTTCACGGTTGGAGGTTATTCAGTCAGGTGCGAGGAGGTGGCGCGACACAGGAAATGTTAAGGCGCGAGGAATGTAGCCCGCAAGAGATTTTACGCCAAGAATGAATTAGGGTTTGGAGGTTCAAGGGTTTAACATTGAAAACCCCGAACCCTTGAACCCCGACCCTAGCAAAATCTACATGTCGCGATCACGGAAGTTGAACGGTAACGCACCCGAACTCTCCCCAACCGGCGATGTGAACATAGCTGGCGGCGCTTGCCCCTGCCATGGTGGCTTCTGCTGCTGTTTCTGTGCGCGCGGATTGGTTTTGTCTGTCTGCGCCAAGAGACGCTCCACTGGAGTGAGGAGAGGGGAAGACAGCAGGAGGGGTGGTTTTTGCAGTTGCTGCTGCTGTGCGAAATGATGGTTGAAATTGGTGAGGCGGAGAAGGATGGAGGTCAGGGGAGAAAATGACGAGGAAATATACCTCATTCAGAATTAGAGATATTACTAGGTGATAAATATTACATTGCTTTGCTAAGGTGACGGCCTAGAGAAAATATGACGTACAGAAAGGCAACGAATCACCGCCGACGGTGAGTAGCTCTCTGCTTGCCGCGATTGACGCTTGCGGCTTTATCGCACCGCTGTTAGAGGCTTCCGTCGAATCGGCCATTGGAAGGAGTGGAGAGAACGAGCTGCACAGCGATGACGAGCTAATGGAATAGTGCGTGGTAGTGGTAACTAGGGAGGGAAGATCGTGCCATGGAAATGGGTAGGTGCATGTCAAAGGGCTGGAACTTGGGTGGTTGGGGAGGGGGGGTGGACTTGTGGGATTCTGCGAGCTGGCGAGTTTTCCTAGAAGCGAAATCACGACCCTCTTTATAACTTCGTAACCAATGTTTGTCTTTGTTGGATGAGGGTCCCACCTACCTACAACCTGGGCAGGCGATGCCACGATGGCCGTTTCGCCGACGTTACTTGTCGCAGCCAACGTTGCTCTCACTACCCGAGAACAATTTCAGGGGCATCACACGCACTTACACACGAGTGCAGGAGGATGACGCTGAAGGAAAACATCGGTGCTGAGCACAAGCACGGAAACTACGGTCAGAAATAAAACATCGATGAGGGCTACAAATGGAATTCATTGTACTTTTGGCTCGCTTTTCGTCGCCCAGCCTTATTCGCAAATCCTACACCCCTGACGCCCCCATGTGATTCTTCTCCAATTGGCCGATAGCGGTTGGCAGCAGTTACAGCATCACAGAGGGCGGCAAGTGGCTGTTTCGTCTCCCCCCGTAGTGCCTCGTTTTTGCTCGCATCGTCTCGCCTCCCCTCGCCTTACCTCGCCACGCCTCTATCGCGTCGCATTACATTGCTTCGCCTCACCTCGCCTCACATGCTAATCTTTTCGCGAAGAACGGAAAGTGTTGGCATCTGCAAACCACCGAAAGAAAAAATGGAGGGCAAGTGTGGTCTGTGGGAGGCGGGCGGGCAGACTGGGCGGAGCAGCATTGCCTTAGCTTTGCTGCCACACCGTGCTTCGTAATTATGCAGGTTACTTTTATTCGTGCAGGTAGTGGCACAATCACCACTTCGTCTTCATAACGCTTACCTCCTCCCGCAACAATCCGTACATGCCTAGAACACAGATTTCGGTTGGCGTTTCTTTTAGATCCACCACAGTTCCCGTCGATCTCGTCACACTTCCCTGGTGTTGCCCAGTACCAGGTCCAGAAATGCGCAGCTCTGCCAAATAAGAAGCATACGAGAACAAATGCTTCTAAGAAATTAGTCCCCAAACTCTTCCAATTCAACTCGCGAATATGGCTACTGCAATCAACTCCGCCACGGCGGAGCATTCACCACTAGCCTCCGCCTCCGCCTCCTCCGCCGATTGCGCCTTTCACCACCGCTCCCCCTCCCCATGCGCCGCGACCTGGTCGCTCCCTTTCCGCCACGCGGCTTCCGCTTCCCCCTCCGCCATGCTTCTCGTCCTCCCCGACGGCTCGGCGCGCCTGTATACCGAGGAGCTGACCGTCGCACAGCTCGCCTGCGACTTTCCCGACCTCGTCGTCAGCTGCTCTGCGATCGTCGCTGGCGACATGTGCGACGGAGGAGTGCGCGACGACTGCGACTCGAAAGCTAAAGATAATGATAATGAGACGAAGCCTCTAGGCGCAATTCTCCCGCGTAACATGGTCTTGCGATTGGGCGGGACGTACTATCTCTCGAACCGCGACGGTCCCTGCTCGGGTGGAGTTGCTTCTGGGGCGATATGCGATTCGAGACGTATTAGCAAGCGCAGCAGCAGCAGGTACACTACTAGCAGCTCTGTTATCGAGGATATACGCAACCGTGAAGATTACTGTACCAGCGGCGCGAGTATCAGCAATAGCGGAGACAGCAGCAGCTTTAGTGGGGGAAGTTGGCGAACGTTCTCGAGTGGCGACGATTTTTTGTGTAACAGGTCGGATGCTGGTTCCAGTTACAGTGGTAACCTCCCCGCTGTGGTGGTGACTGGAAACGAAAGCAAGCGCTTTTTGTCAAAAGAATGTGCGATAGCTTGTCACAGGCGATCACTGTCGCTCGTGTTCGCGGATTCGCAGATGCCTTCGCCACGGCAAGACGTGCCCTCTAATGGTAACCAGCAACTTCGACAATCACGCACTCCCACCGTTTCGCGCTCAGGCGAACTATCGCCCGCTCCCTCTCACGTACGATCTGCCCAGAGACCGCCTGCGATAAGCTCCCCCGTCGCACACCGTCGCCAATTCCTTCGCACGACCACCCCGATGCGCGATCGACCCATCGCGCCTCGTCACGTACGCACTCGCACGGAGATTCTCGGTGATGCTCCGATATTGACTGACTCGCTTGTGAGTGATGCGCCCGTTGCTGGTTGGTCGGTTGTAACGAGCGTTGATTGGGCCTCGCTACAAGACACGCTTCGCCAAAACAGGCTCCAGCTTCAGCGGTCGCAGCTACACCAATCGCAGCTACAACCGTCGCAGCTACAACCGTCGCATCAGCCTTCGCGCGCGGCTCACCGTCGCAGAAACTTCTCCGCCACCACCGCGGTTTCCCCCGCTGACTGGATGAGCGCCAATCATTCCGCCTCCGCCCTCTCCCGCGACCGTATGCGGAGCCCCGGTCGCGCACGAGCGCAGCTGACGGCGCACGGGGCAAGCGGACGTGACGCGGCAGCAGCAGGAGTTGTGGGCGACACTGCACTCGACCGACCCGTGGAAGCGTGCCACGCGGCAGTTCCAGCTGGTACGGCTCTGAGGCGGTGCTTCTCGCACACGGAGACGCGGGTGGGGGGAGGGCGGGTGGTCTGGTGGGGCGGGGAAGCGGAGCAGGCGGAAAGGCAGCGGGAGGCGGAGGCGGAAGACGGAGAAGCGGATCAAGAAAATGACAAGACCCGGATTGACAATATTATTGAGCTAGAACCAGATGATTCAGGCAACAGCGGCGTGGTTAACGGTGGCGAGTGTAACGAGGATGACACTAACGATCTCCCTGACTCCCCTAGCAGCACCAGCAGCTGTGACAGCACTGATAGCGAGGCAGATGCTAACGAGGCGTTTTGGGACTCCCCTCGCTGCTTCTTCTCCCCCCTCTCCCTCTCCCTCCCTCGCTCCCCCTTTTCTGCCTCCGTCCCAGCTCCCTCCCTCCTCTCTCTCACCAACACTCCCGCCAGCAAATCCGCCGATTCACCCACTACAGTCACACCTGCTACAGGAACGTGTGATGTGCGCGCACCTGTTACAGCCACATCTCGCCCCGGCCACACCCGTCGTCGCACCATGGATATATGCCTGCCTCTGCCGTCCCTCTCCCCTGCTTCAGTCCCTGCTACAGTCTCTGCCCGGAAAGGAACCTTTTCAGCTTCCCAGTCACCAAAAAATATTCCTTTGGGCAGTGCAGGAAATACGGGAGGGGTTGCTGCTGCTGCTTTCTCTCCATCCCCTTTAAGAGGGAACTCGGGTGACGGGATAAGGATTGCAGCTACACCTACACAGGAAAGCATGCAAAGCTTTAGCAGAAGCAGAGCGCTTCTAAGGAGTATGAGCAGCAGAGAGCGGCAACGCAGCAGGGAAAATCTTCCAGGCAGCAATTTGAGTGGGACTAGTTCCCCTTGCCCTGAGTCAAATTCAGGGTGTATTGCTGGAAGAAACCCTAGCCCATTGCCATGGGTGCACGCCAGGGCAAACTCCCTTTGGAATTCGTTACCCCAGCCGTCCTCTGCACCACTGGATGCTTCTTGGAAGGTGCAGGAGCAGAATACTAGCAATAGCAATGGAGGCAGCACTAGCAACAGCTGTGGTAGCAGCAGCAGCAGCAGCAGCAGCAGCAGCAGCAGCAGCAGCAGCAGCAGCAACAGCAGGGCGAGCAGCAGCAGAACCAGCAGCAACGGCAGCCGCAAGTTCAGTTTGCTCAATTTTAAAGCACTCTCTATCTCCATCCGTTCAGGCAACAGCAGCAGCAGCAACAGCTGCACCAACTCTCCTCACTCCCCCTTCTCTCCCTCCACCTCCTCGGAATTCCCTATCTCAACTGCAAGCTCCGTTTCCTCATTTGACTATTCCTTCAATTCATCATTCCCCCACTCCTCCACTTCCTCCTCCCCTGCCTCTTCCGCCTCCTCCCCTTCCTCCTGCTTCTCCTCCCCCACACCCCTCTCCTCCCACTCACCCTCCCTCCCATCCCCGTCTCACACACCCAGCTCCCACCTTCCCCCAAAACAACCCACTCCCAGCCTGCTCTCCCCAAGCCACCTCCTACCTCCCCTGGCCCACCCCTCCCCCAGTTGCGCCTCCCCCACATCGCACCTGGAAGCAGCCAGGCCCATCTCACCCCACTGCACCCAATCCCTCAGCTGCAGCCACTCACCGCACTCCACCGCATCCAACCCCTCCCACCTGCCTCCTCTGCCATCACATTCCGGCCTGCCAGGTCTGTCAGCCCTGCAGGGGCATGTGGGCAGGGCCCCGGTATCTCCTCACTCCCTCACAAAGGGAACAGGGAAGGTGGTGAGGGTGTCACGATTTCAGAGGCAGGAAGGGGAGGGATGATGCTCTTATAAGGCTGATTGTTGGCCCTGCAGGGGCATGTGGGCAGGGCCCTGGTATCTCCTCACTCCCTCACAAAGGGAACAGAGAAGGTGGTGAGGGTGTCACGATTTCAGAGGCAGGAAGGGGAGGGATGATAATCCCCTTTGGAGTCTGACTGTCAGCCTGGTTCTGCAGGGGCATGTGGGCAGGGCCCCTGTGTCGCCTCACTCTCTCTCCAAGACAACAGGGAAGGTGGTCGGGGCATCTCGTTTCCAGAGGCAGGAAGGGGAGGGACGATGCTCTGGTAAGGCTGATTGTTGGCCCTGCAGGGGCATGTGGGCAGGGCCCTTGTGTCACCTCACTCCCTCTCCAAGGGGACGGGGAAGGTGGTGAGGGCATCTCGTTTCCAGAGGCAGGAAGGGGAGGGGTGAAGCAGGTGTGTGCCTGCCTGTCAGGCCAGCATGGGTACCCACATGGGCACGGCCCCTGTGTCGCCTCACTCACTTGCTGAAGGAACGATGAAGGTGGCCAGGGCATCAAGATTCCAGATGCAGGAAGGGGAGGTGTGAATGATATGATGCTTCTCTGTACATAGCATCCTGTACTGTATAGCTGCCAACACCAATTGTTAATGCCATATCTTCATCTGTTGATACACTATGATACATTGCTGTATACCAGTAACTAGGTTGCACTGAATACCCTAACTGACTTGAACGTGACACGTTGAACAGGCAACATACCAACCTTCGTTTATTCTCTGCACTTAAAAACTGACTGGTGCTGGCATGTGACTAAATCTCAATCCTGTCCCTTCTTAAAACCCAGGAGACCGCTCTACACTCCTATGCCCCTCTCCTTGCCCCCCCGCGCCCCCAGCCTCTCTCCCTCCACGGAAGACTGATGCCCGTACCCCTCTCCCTCCTCTCCGTCCTCTCCATCCTCCACCACCACACTCCACACCTCCAGCTTCTCCTCCCCACTCCCTCGCTGCATCACCACTCAGTTCTCTCAGTTCCCCACACTCCTAGAACCCAGGAGACCGCTCCACGCCCGCATGCCCCTCCCCTTGCCGCCCCACGCCCCACCTCCCCATCCTCCCTCCCTCCCCGGGAGACTGATGCCCGTACCCCTCTCCCTCCTCTATCAAATCCTCCTCCTCCCCCACACTCCATGCCTAGGATTTCTCCTCCTCCCTCCCTCTCCGGACCATCACTAAGTAGCCTCAACCCCCACCCTTTTAAAACCCAGGAGACCGCTCCACACCCCCATGCCCTTCCCCTTGCCCCCCCACGTCCCACGCCCCCATCCTCCTTCCTTCCCCAGGAGATTGATGCTCGTACCCCTCTCCCTCCTCTCCCTCTTCTCCCTCCTCTCCCTCCACCTCCTCCCCCATGCTCCACACCTCCAGCTTCCGAGACAAGGCCCTAAGGCGCGCTCTCTCCTTCTGCAGGTGCGAGCGGGCCAGAGTGATGTCCTGAGAGGAAGACACAAGGAAGGATGGGATAAAGAGGGGAAAAGAGAGAGATACAGACGGGCGGCGGCACCAAAGTAAGCCTGAGAGATTGAACGAAATCAGACCCCGCATCCGCTCCTTCTTCCTCTGCAGGTGAGAGTTGGCCAGAGTAATGAAATGAGGGGTAAAGAGAGGGTGGAAAGAGAGGGTGGAAAGAGAGGGTGGAAAGAGAGGGTGGAAAGAGAGGGTGGAAAGAGAGGGTGGAAAGAGAGGGTGGAAAGAGAGGCAGTGAGGCACACCAGGTCTGCCTGCAGTGTTCAAATCACACCTCACTTCCTCTTTCCTCCCGTGTATTGTCCACCAGGGTGTGTCATACCCCCCTGCACCTCCAGATAACCCCATCTCTCTTCTTACATCCCTTTTCACACGATCTTCCCACATCACATCAGACAACACTGCACTGCACCGCGCCGCACCTCACCACACCACACCACACCACACCACATTGTACCGTGGGCAAGTCGGAGTAGATCGCCAGGTCCTGCTGCAACCGCCCCACCTCCTCCTCCTCCCCCTGCACCTCCGCTGCCAGCTGTAGCAGGGCGGCCATGTCCACATCAGCACAGTACCCCGCAGCCTCTAGTGAACCCTGGGGGGAAGAAAAAGGAGGGAAAAGAATCACGTGGGAAAAAAAAAAAAGACAAAAAAACAAACAAACAAACAAACGGATATTGATTTTCTTTGCAGAAGTAAAAGGTGGAGAGCTCAAGCAGAGCGTGAGAGACATGGAGAACAGGGGAGAATGGAGAAAGTTCATCATCATTCTCCCCACCCACTCATCCACCCATCCGATTGCTCTCCTGTCCCTCCTCTACCCACCACTCTCCCACAACCATGACTCCCTCCCACCCACTCATCCCCACCCATCTCAACCACGCATACCTGTGCGGCGGATCGCTGCAGGCTCAGTTGCTGCTGCTGCTGATTTCTCTCCTCTCCCTTTCCCCACCATTCACTCCCCCCCACCAACTCATCCACCCACCTGCGCGGCGGATCGCTGCAGGCTCAGCTGCTGCTGCTCGTGGGCTGTTCTTCTGGTCCTGTCCGCCACGTCATCAGTGGCCCTGCTGATGTCATCGTCCGATGGCAGCTGCGCCTTCCAGCTGGCAGCACAGCACAGGGCACCGACACAGGTTAGGATGGATCAGAGGGAGGAGAAAAAACACAGGCCAGGGTGGTTAACGAATATATATAAATGCAAGTTCCGACAAGAAGAAACGCAAGAGCGGGAACCAAAAGAAGTAGGAGAGCGAGCGAGGTTAGCTTAAGCTGGTTCGGAGCCTCTTTCCCCCCCCTTCAGACCCACCCTCACCTCTCGATACACCCAGCAATGGAAGCAATCAGCTCTTGCCTCGCCTGCAGGTTGGCCTGCGTCTGCTGCATGCGCTGCAGCAGCTGCTCACAGTGCCCTCAACGACCGTGTTTTTTTCCCCTCATGGCACTTACCACCACCCTCACCTCTCGATGCACTCAGCCAGAGCAGCGACCTGCTGCTGCCTCGCCTCTAGGTTTGCCTGCGTCTGCTGCATGCGCTGCAGCAGCTGCTCACAGTGCCATGCGCGCGTGGACAGGTGAGTCACGGCGCTGGGAAGGCTGGAGGGAGGGGACAAAGGCACAGAAAGTAAGGGGTGGGGGGGCGGAATGGGCAGGTGAATGGGCAGGTGTAGCAGGCTTGTGTGGGTCTGCTGCATGCGCTGCAGCAGCTGTTCACAGTGTCATGCGCGTGTGGACAGGTGCGTGACGGCGCTGGGGAGGCTGTAAAGGGGGAAAATGGGAGGGATGGGCAGGGGCAAAGAGCTGTTGAATGGGTGGCTGTGGCAGCAGTAGGTGCTCACAGAGCCATGCACGGCAGGTGCGTGACGGCGCTGGGGAGGCTGGAAAGAGAAGCAGTGATTGGCGGGTTGGGAAGAGATGGCAGTGGGCGTGGCCGAGTGAGTGGAAGAAGCTGCGGATCTACCCGGGTGGGCCCGTGACTGCGAGAAGTAGGCAAAACGAACGAGCAGAGATCTCGCATCTGAGACACTGTTTCTGCAATTTCCTCAGTCATGCTCGGATCGGATGCACATACGATACACACCATTGTAGTTCGTCGGTCCATGCAAGAAGCACTAGGCAGTTACTCGGTGCTCACAGGCCGTTCAGAGAAAGCTCACCAGTGCGGGTCCGTGACTGAGAGAAGTTGGCAGAGCTCCGCGATCTGAGACACTGCTTCTGTCGTGTCCACATCGCGGAGCTTGATCGCGTAACTCGCCCAACACTGCTGCCAGCACGGCTTTCAGGTGCGCTGCCGGGAGGAAAACAAAAAGGACTCACCAGTGCGGGTCTGTGACTGAGAGCAGTTGGCAGAGCTCCGCAATCTGCGACACCGCTTCTGTGGTGTCCACATCACGAAACTCGCCCAACACTGTTGCCAGCACTGCCTTGAGGTGCGCCGCTGAGAAGGAAAGAAAGGGAGAGAGGAAGGAAGGAGGTGACTTATGAGTAGACCCAAAAGAGCTCCGCAATCTGAGACACTGCTTCCGTGGTGTCAAAGTCGCGGAATTCGCCCAACACTGCTGCCAGCACTGCCTTAATGTGAGCCGCTGGGAGGGAGGGGGCAAGAGGAAGGACGAATATGGAGGGAATTCAGGCCACCACAAGGGATTCGCAAAATACTGCTGAGAGCACGACCCACTGACATCACGTTTCAGGCCACCACAAGGAATTCGACTGACATCGAGCGAGATCCACCCAATGCAGCATCTTCATCGTCACCAGAACCACCTTCACCAGAACCACCTTCACCAGAACCACCTTCACCAGAACCACCTTCAACAGAATCCCCTTCACCAGAATCACCTTCACCAGAAACACCTTCACCAGAATCACCTTTGCTAGAACCACCTTTACGTGAATCAACTTGAGAAGAACCACCCTTCACTGGATTTACTTTCACCAGAATCACCTTTACCGATTTTCCTAATATCGCCTTAACGGACTTCACCTTCTGCTCGGTATCCTCGAGCCTGGATCTCCGCTTCCGCCATCATCGGCGACTTAGCGGCGGACGCTGCTACGCTCCGCGCACCCTGATTCCCACCGGCGTTTCCGCCGCCGCTGCTGCTGCTGCTGCTGCTGCTGCCGGCGTTAATCCTGCTGCCAGCGCTAACGCTGTTGCCGGCATTATTGCTGCTAAAATCGCTGGCTCTGCAGCTGCTGCCGCTGCCGCTCCTCGCGCTGTCGCTCAGAGCTAGCGAGCAGCCTTCCGGACTAGAGAAAAGCCTGGTTCTACAGTCACTATCCGCCATGATAGCGTTGCAGTCTCTAGTTCCAAATCCTAAGGACTGCGATTCCCGACCTTTCAGAAGGCACAATGACTTTCTACAAAAACAACAAAAACAAGCAAACATCAATCCTGGATCCCAAGCAACAAATGCTGATTCGTCAGGCCTAGTTCGCGACTGTCGCTAAATCGTTCGCAATGTCGTAGGCCACGCAAGCTCCGCGACACCCAGACAACCCGATGTTGCAACAAAACAACGGTTCATGCAACTTTCGTTACTGAGTTGTGACTGTTGCCTAGCAGCTGAGAGGGCATCCAGCTTTTCTGAGACTTGTCGCAAACACCAAGAACCAAAACTATGTTCGCCCACTTCGCCATGACATGTACGCCCCAGTGACATACAGATTGTAAGCATTCACCCTACTCAGTGCATGTGTATAGTTGTGTTTTCTGTAATCTACAGCTCGTACTCACTTTGTTTCACATTGTGCATCCACCAGAGAAATACTGTACATGAGATTGTGACGGAAGCATAATGATACCGAATAACAAGAATCAACAGGCCCCAAAACCTTTGGATGTGTCCAGGTAACAATCTGCGACAACATCCAGGTCAACGCAGTCAACGGAGTCAACGCTGCTGCCCTCCTGGATGCCTATTGTGGTGATCACTGCGTGGATGCTGCGGGTGGTTTCCTGGAAGCTGCTGGTACAAATCAAGTGACTGCTGGTTCATTGGCAAATACGCGTATCCGGGTGAAGGGGGGTAAGCGGGCAGCAACTGCTGACCTGGCACTGCCATCCCAGGCTCTGCAGGGACCACCTGTGCTCCTGCTGATGCTGCTGCTGCTCCTGATACTGCGCGTATAGCTCCTGGTGCTGCTGCTACTGCTGTTGAAGCTCCGGCTGCCAACTCTGAGCCAAATGCCACGTGCTGCAGGCTTGCATTTCTACTACCTGTGCTCACGCCTGTGGCCGTGCCTGTAACCATGCCTCCGTCTGTGCTTGTGCCCATACCTGCTGACAGAGCAGGGATCCTCTGACCTGCCCTGTCGCCTCGTGCAGGGGCATCACGCCGTGAGGCCTGCACCTGCCCCATCGCCTGCCCTGTTTCCCTGGAATGACTGGAGTTGCCAGAATGCCGTTTTGCAGGCCCCCCTGCCTGTGTGCGCGTGTCCCGAGTGAAAGGTCCAACAGACCTTGATACGACAGGCATTGGTGTTGCTTCTGTGCCAGATCTCACACCAGTTGTCACAGGAGCAGGTTGAGAAGAGGACATGGGAGGTGGAGAGGAGGCGATGGGAGAGTGAGGGGAGGAGACGTGCAGAGCACTCAACTGTGCCATGTAGTCAACTGCTGCCGTCCCCGCCCCTGCTCTCCCTCCTTCCCTCCCTTCCTGACCAGTCTGCAGCTGCAGCTGCTGCGGCTGCTGCTGTCGCTTCTCTGCCTGCCTTCGTTGCTGCTGCCTCTGCTGCTTCTCTAGCTGCCTCTGCTTCTCGGCCTGCTGCTGCTGCTTCTCCATCTGCCGCTGCTGCTCAGCCTGCTGCAGCTTCTGCATCCCTACATGCACTGGAGACAGCACACTGCCCAGAACATGCGCTACAGCCGGGTTGTGTGCTACAGCTGACTTGTGCACATCAGTTGGCTTTTGCACTACAGACCGATGAGGATGAGCTGGAGGTGGTGAATGTGCTACAGCTGCAGTCACGGGTGCCACAGCAGATGGGTGCACTATGAACTGTTCCTGAACGTGGTTTCGCCTTTGAGAGGTGCGCGCCTGCTCCTCCTGCTTCAACCGCATCTGGTGGAATCCCAATGGCGCGAGAAATTGCAATGCAGGGGTGGCAGAAAGCAGGAGGCATCAAGGGTGGATGGGAGGAGAAAAAGACAGCACTGAGAGAGCACTGAGAGAGAGAGCAGTGAGAGAGAGCAGTGGGAGAGGAATGAGAGAGAGGAATGAGAGAAAGCGGTGGGAGAGGGAAATAAGAAAGTGCTCACCACAGCCTTGTTGCTCCGAGTTATGTCTTCAAGAGCTGCGATAGCCGGGACGAGACTGGGAAAAAGAGAGGACATGGATGGGAAAGAGAGAAACGGGAAGATACGTGGAAGGTGGTGTGGTGGGTGAACCACAGCAGTGGCAGGGATTTTCAGTCTGTTGTGCATGGAGAGAGAGAGACGGGGGTAGCGGGAGAGGAAAGGGGCACACGGGAGTGCAGAGCGGCACACGCGAGTGTGTACGTACCTGTGTGCGTGCTTTACTGCCTTCTCATACGCCTCCTTCTCCTCCATCAACAGCATGCGCTGCAGCTGTGCGAACGCTCAGGGGCCCACAGGATGTGCGTGTGAGTAGGCAATGGGCATATGCGTGTGAGTGGGCAATGGGCATATGCGTGTGAGTAGGCAATGGGCATATGCGTGTGAGTGGGCAATGGGCATATGCGTGTGAGTGGGCAATGGGCATATGCGTGTGAGTGGGCAATGGGCATATGCGTGTGAGTGGGCAATGGGCATATGCGTGTGAGTGGGCAATGGGCATATGCGTGTGAGTGGGCAATGGGCATATGCGTGTGAGTGGGCAATGGGCATATGCGTGTGAGTGGGCAATGGGCATATGCGTGTGAGTGGGCAATGGGCATATGCGTGTGAGTGGGCAATGGGCATATGCGTGTGAGTGGGCAATGGGCATATGCGTGTGATGGGCAATGGGCATATGCGTGTGATGGGCAATGGGCATATGCGTGTGATGGGCAATGGGCATATGCGTGTGAGTGGGCAATGGGCATATGCGTGTGAGTGGGCAATGGGCATATGCGTGTGAGTGGGCGATGGGCATATGCGTGTGAGTGGGCGATGGGCATATGCGTGTGAGTGGGCGATGGGCATATGCGTGTGAGTGGGCAATGGGCATATGCGTGTGAGTGGGCAATGGGCATATGCGTGTGATGGGCAATGGGCATATGCGTGTGAGTGGGCAATGGGCATATGCGTGTGAGTGGGCAATGGGCATATGCGTGTGAGTGGGCAATGGGCATATGCGTGTGAGTGGGCAATGGGCATATGCGTGTGAGTGGGCAATGGGCATATGCGTGTGAGTGGGCAATGGGCATATGCGTGTGAGTGGGCAACGGGCATATGCGTGTGAGTGGGCAACGGGCATATGCGTGTGAGTGGGCAATGGGCATATGCGTGTGAGTGGGCAATGGGCATATGCGTGTGAGTGGGCAATGGGCATATGCGTGTGAGTGGGCAATGGGCATATGCGTGTGAGTGGGCAATGGGCATATGCGTGTGAGTGGGCAATGGGCATATGCGTGTGAGTGGGCAATGGGCATATGCGTGTGAGTGGGCAATGGGCATATGCGTGTGAGTGGGCAATGGGCATATGCGTGTGAGTGGGCAATGGGCATATGCGTGTGAGTGGGCAATGGGCATATGCGTGTGAGTGGGCAATGGGCATATGCGTGTGAGTGGGCAATGGGCATATGCGTGTGAGTGGGCAATGGGCATATGCGTGTGAGTGGGCAATGGGCATATGCGTGTGAGTGGGCAATGGGCATATGCGTGTGATGGGCAATGGGCATATGCATGTGAGTGGGCAATGGGCATATGCGTGTGAGTGGGCAATGGGCATATACGTGTGAGTGGGCAATGGGCATATGCGTGTGAGTGGGCAATGGGCATATGCGTGTGAGTGGGCGATGGGCATATGCGTGTGATGGGCGATGGGCATATGCGTGTGATGGGCAATGGGCATATGCGTGTGATGGGCAATGGGCATATGCGTGTGAGTGGGCAATGGGCATATGCGTGTGAGTGGGCAATGGGCATATGCGTGTGAGTGGGCAATGGGCATATGCGTGTGAGTGGGCAATGGGCATATGCGTGTGAGTGGGCAACGGGCATATGCGTGTGAGTGGGCAACGGGCATATGCGTGTGAGTGGGCAACGGGCATATGCGTGTGAGTGGGCAACGGGCATATGCGTGTGAGTGGGCAACGGGCATATGCGTGTGAGTGGGCAACGGGCATATGCGTGTGAGTGGGCAACGGGCATATGCGTGTGATGGGCAACGGGCATATGCGTGTGATGGGCAATGGGCATATGCGTGTGAGTGGGCAATGGGCATATGCGTGTGAGTGGGCAATGGGCATATGCGTGTGAGTGGGCAATGGGCATATGCGTGTGATGGGCAATGGGCATATGCGTGTGAGTGGGCAATGGGCATATGCGTGTGAGTGGGCAATGGGCATATGCGTGTGAGTGGGCAATGGCCATATGTGTGTGAGTGGGCAATGGACATATGCGTGTGAGTGGGCAATGGGCATATGCGTGTGAGTGGGCAATGGGCATATGTGTGTGATGGGCAATGGGCATATGCGTGTGAGTGGGCAATGGGCATATGCGTGTGAGTGGGCAATGGGCATATGCGTGTGATGGGCAATGGGCATATGCGTGTGAGTGGGCAACGGGCATATGCGTGTGAGTGGGCAATGGGCATATGCGTGTGAGTGGGCAATGGGCATATGCGTGTGAGTGGGCAACGGGCATATGCGTGTGAGTGGGCAACGGGCATATGCGTGTGAGTGGGCAATGGGCATATGCGTGTGAGTGGGCAATGGGCATATGCGTGTGAGTGGGCAATGGGCATATGCGTGTGAGTGGGCAATGGGCATATGCGTGTGATGGGCAATGGGCATATGCGTGTGATGGGCAATGGGCATATGCGTGTGAGTGGGCAATGGGCATATACGTGTGAGTGGGCAATGGGCATATGCGTGTGAGTGGGCGATGGGCATATGCGTGTGAGTGGGCGATGGGCATATGCGTGTGAGTGGGCGATGGGCATATGCGTGTGATGGGCAATGGGCATATGCGTGTGAGTGGCAATGGGCATATGCGTGTGAGTGGGCAATGGGCATATGCGTGTGATGGGCAATGGGCATATGCGTGTGATGGGCAATGGGCATATGCGTGTGAGTGGGCAATGGGCATATGCGTGTGATGGGCAATGGGCATATGCGTGTGATGGGCAATGGGCATATGCGTGTGAGTGGGCAATGGGCATATGCGTGTGAGTGGGCAATGGGCATATGCGTGTGAGTGGGCAATGGGCATATGCGTGTGAGTGGGCAATGGGCATATGCGTGTGATGGGCAATGGGCATATGCGTGTGATGGGCAATGGGCATATGCGTGTGATGGGCAATGGGCATATGCGTGTGATGGGCAATGGGCATATGCGTGTGATGGGCAATGGGCATATGCGTGTGATGGGCAATGGGCATATGCGTGTGAGTGGGCAACGGGCATATGCGTGTGAGTGGGCAATGGGCATATGCGTGTGAGTGGGCAATGGGCATATGCGTGTGAGTGGGCAATGGGCATATGCGTGTGAGTGGGCAACGGGCATATGCGTGTGAGTGGGCAACGGGCATATGCGTGTGATGGGCAATGGGCATATGCGTGTGATGGGCAATGGGCATATGCGTGTGAGTGGGCAATGGGCATATGCGTGTGAGTGGGCAATGGGCATATGCGTGTGAGTGGGCAATGGGCATATGCGTGTGAGTGGGCAATGGGCATATGCGTGTGAGTGGGCAATGGGCATATGCGTGTGAGTGGGCAATGGGCATATACGTGTGAGTGGGCAAAGGGCATATGCGTGTGAGTGGGCAATGGGCATATGCGTGTGAGTGGGCGATGGGCATATGCGTGTGAGTGGGCGATGGGCATATGCGTGTGAGTGGGCAATGGGCATATGCGTGTGAGTGGGCAATGGGCATATGCGTGTGATGGGCAATGGGCATATGCGTGTGATGGGCAATGGGCATATGCGTGTGAGTGGGCAATGGGCATATGCGTGTGAGTGGGCAATGGGCATATGCGTGTGAGTGGGCAATGTGCATATGCGTGTGAGTGGGCAATGGGCATATGCGTGTGAGTGGGCAATGGGCATATGCGTGTGAGTGGGCGATGGGCATATGCGTGTGAGTGGGCGATGGGCATATGCGTGTGATGGGCAATGGGCATATGCGTGTGAGTGGGCAATGGGCATATGCGTGTGAGTGGGCAATGGCCATATGTGTGTGAGTGGGCAATGGGCATATGCGTGTGAGTGGGCAATGGGCATATGCGTGTGAGTGGGCAATGGGCATATGCGTGTGAGTGGGCAATGGGCATATGCGTGTGAGTGGGCAATGGGCATATGCGTGTGAGTGGGCAAATCGGCATATGCGTGTGAGTGGGCAATGGGCATATGCGTGTGCTGGGCAATGGGCATATGCGTGTGAGTGGGCAATGGGCATATGTGTGTGATGGGCAATGGGCATATGCGTGTGAGTGGGCAACGGGCATATGTGTGTGATGGGCAATGGGCATATGCGTGTGAGTGGGCAATGGGCATATGCGTGTGAGTGGGCAATGGGCATATGCGTGTGATGGGCAATGGGCATATGCGTGTGAGTGGGCAATGGGCATATGCGTGTGAGTGGGCAATGGGCATATGCGTGTGAGTGGGCAATGGGCATATGCGTGTGAGTGGGCAACGGGCATATGCGTGTGAGTGGGCAACGGGCATATGCGTGTGATGGGCAATGGGCATATGCGTGTGATGGGCAATGGGCATATGCGTGTGAGTGGGCAATGGGCATATGCGTGTGAGTGGGCAATGGGCATATGCGTGTGAGTGGGCAATGGGCATATGCGTGTGAGTGGGCAATGGGCATATGCGTGTGAGTGGGCAATGGGCATATGCGTGTGAGTGGGCAATGGGCATATACGTGTGAGTGGGCAATGGGCATATGCGTGTGAGTGGGCAATGGGCATATGCGTGTGAGTGGGCGATGGGCATATGCGTGTGAGTGGGCGATGGGCATATGCGTGTGAGTGGGCAATGGGCATATGCGTGTGAGTGGGCAATGGGCATATGCGTGTGATGGGCAATGGGCATATGCGTGTGATGGGCAATGGGCATATGCGTGTGAGTGGGCAATGGGCATATGCGTGTGAGTGGGCAATGGGCATATGCGTGTGAGTGGGCAATGTGCATATGCGTGTGAGTGGGCAATGGGCATATGCGTGTGAGTGGGCAATGGGCATATGCGTGTGAGTGGGCGATGGGCATATGCGTGTGAGTGGGCGATGGGCATATGCGTGTGATGGGCAATGGGCATATGCGTGTGAGTGGGCAATGGGCATATGCGTGTGAGTGGGCAATGGCCATATGTGTGTGAGTGGGCAATGGGCATATGCGTGTGAGTGGGCAATGGGCATATGCGTGTGAGTGGGCAATGGGCATATGCGTGTGAGTGGGCAATGGGCATATGCGTGTGAGTGGGCAATGGGCATATGCGTGTGAGTGGGCAAATCGGCATATGCGTGTGAGTGGGCAATGGGCATATGCGTGTGCTGGGCAATGGGCATATGCGTGTGAGTGGGCAATGGGCATATGTGTGTGATGGGCAATGGGCATATGCGTGTGAGTGGGCAACGGGCATATGTGTGTGATGGGCAATGGGCATATGCGTGTGAGTGGGCAATGGGCATATGCGTGTGAGTGGGCAATGGGCATATGCGTGTGATGGGCAATGGGCATATGCGTGTGAGTGGGCAATGGGCATATGCGTGTGAGTGGGCAATGGGCATATGCGTGTGAGTGGGCAATGGGCATATGCGTGTGAGTGGGCAATGGGCATATGCGTGTGAGTGGGCAATGGGCATATGCGTGTGAGTGGGCAATGGGCATATGCGTGTGAGTGGGCAATGGGCATATGCGTGTGAGTGGGCAATGGGCATATGCGTGTGATGGGCAATGGGCATATGCGTGTGAGTGGGCAATGGGCATATGCGTGTGAGTGGGCAATGGGCATATGCGTGTGAGTGGGCAATGGGCATATGCGTGTGAGTGGGCAATGGGCATATGCGTGTGAGTGGGCAATGGGCATATGCGTGTGATGGGCAATGGGCATATGCGTGTGAGTGGGCAATGGGCATATGCGTGTGAGTGGGCAATGGGCATATGCGTGTGATGGGCAATGGGCATATGCGTGTGAGTGGGCAATGGGCATATGCGTGTGAGTGGGCAATGAGCATATGCGTGTGAGTGGGCCTTTATTGGCACCTCCCATGCTGTGAAGTCGGAGGATGGGCTGCGAGGGATGAAGGGTGTATGGCAGAGGACATGGGATGGGAGAATGCGGAGAGATATCAAGGGAATGAAGGGTTTTGAGAAGGGGACGTGGCAAAACAGAAAGGGACAACGAATAACGAAGGGGCAAAAAAAAACAACGGGGATCACACTTGCAATTGCGAACACGCATGCTCTCTCAAGGGTACCAGCACCACTTGCACACATCCTCCACGTCAGACAGCATGACTTTGCACTCATCCACATCAGTGAGCACCACTTACACGTCATCATCCACGGCAGCCAGCACCACTGCCAGCTCCTGAGGCTCAAGGTCTGAAACAGAGGGGTGCGAGGAGTGCTCTCTCTGCACCGAGGGCAAGGTGGGAGGTGGAAGAGTCCGGACGGAATGAGAAGATTGAGTTTTTTAAGACACCTAAAAAATCAGCACCACCGCCAGCTCTTAAGGTTCAAGGTCTGAGACGGATGGATGGGAAGAGTGCTCCATGTGGAAGAAAGGAGAGGTCGAAATTGGAGGGGGCAGGAAGGAGCAGGAAAGCAGCAGGTGGGAAAGGGAGAGGTCGAAATTGGAGGGGGCAGGAAGGAGCAGGAAAGCAGCAGGTGGGAAAGGGAGAGCAACGGCGAGCAATGGATGGAGCCTGGAGGTGGGGCATTGTCCCCAAAAAAGGGGCTGCCAAAGAGCTCCTGCTACAGACAGAAGGGTCGCCTCACCTAGGGGCTGCCTCACTTGCGCTTCCCCCCTTTCTCCTTGTCAGTCTCCCACCTTCAACCATACAACCCCCTTGCTTCGCCCCACCTTGGTGCCCAGCTGCGCCCACTGCCCCCGTGCCAGGGTGTGTCGTGATCGCTGCTCCTTGTCGCGTGCCGAGACAGACTGAAACGCCACTGCCTGCAACTGACCCGCCTGTGTTGGGGGCGAAAAGAGGGGAGGACGAGGATAAAAAGGATGCATGGGGTCACTCGAACGGATAAATGGTGCTCCCACTGGTCCGCTGCTCCTTGACTGCAGCTGAACCGTGCTAACACGGACTGGAACGCCACTGCCTGCAACTGACCCGCTTGTAAGGGAGGAAGGGGGAGGGAGGGGAGGACTAGGATGGACAAGCAGGATACATAAAAGGGAAAGCTCACTTTCCATGTTCACACAGTTCCTTGTCAGGAAAGCATCTTTCAGGCACCTAAAAGACCCTGAAAACAACAAAGATTCTCTGAGCAGGGAGATGAGAGAGAGATGAAGCATTCACCTGGGCATGCGAGGAGGCTCGGTTGAAGGCAGAAAATATGAGCCCCACGAATCCCTCGTCTAGCATCTGGTACATGCCCTGTGTGCGCACGTCTGGTGTGCACCATAGAGAGGGGGGAGGGAGGGAAGGGAAGGGGGGCGCATGGGGAGCTTCTGAACACATCAAGAGAATATGAGCCCCACGAATCCCTCATCCAGCATCTGGTACATGCCATGTGTGCGCACGTCTGATGCGCACCATAGTGAGCAAGGGAAGAGACAGATGGGGGAACACATCAAGAAAATATGAGCCCCACGAATCCCTCATCGAGCATCTGGTACATGCCATGTGTTCGCACATCTGATGGGAGGGGTTAGCAAGCAGAGAGAGACGGAAGGGGGAGGGGACGAATCACGTTAAGAGGATATGAGTCCCACGAAGCCCTCGTCTAGCATCTGATACATGCCCTGTGTGTGCACGTCTGATGCACAGAGAAGTAAGGGGAGAAAGGAGACAGAGGAAGAGGAGACATATCAGGACAATGTGAGGCCATCGAAGCCTCGTCCTGCGTCTGCTACATGCCCTGCCCTGTGTGCACGCGTCTTTTGCCCAGTGCCGGAAGAAGTAAGGGCGAGGGGGAGGGGGGAAGTGAGAGAGGGAAGGGAGGCACGTCAGGAGGCAGGAGGGGAGAAGGAAGAGAAGACGATGGTGCATTATAGCCTAAAAAACAGACGAGATCTGAGTGTATGTGGTGCTGATACAGCGCGAGCTTAATACCATGTGGACATACTGACAAAATTGACATGTGACGTGCGAAATCCACATACCGACATGGGATGGGTGAACAGTGATGTGTGGGTGCGAGTGGTACCACCCAATGACACGTGTCCTCATGCCAGTGGCCGCTGACATCCTGCAATTCTCAGCGTGGAATGGCATGGAATGGATTGGAATGACATGTAGACACAATCAGCATATGGCATGGAATGGCATGGCGTGACATGCATAGACATGGGTGGCCGTGGTCAACGTAACGTGGGCAGCATGCATGATGGCATGAAGCAGGAGCTGGGATAAGGAAGCAAGTAAACACCAAGCATGCATGAAAGCATGCATGGACAGCAAGTGAGCCTTGTTACTAACCTTATGGAAACCCACTAGCAAGCTCGCAGGAAAATCTTATGCATAGTAAAACAAACAAGTAAATAAGCACACACACAAGAAAAGGGGTTTCAGGGCAAGCCCACGCGTACCTCTCAGCCTCGGCAGATGCTGCTGCCAGCTGCTCTGGAGTCGTCTCGACTCGATCTTTTCTCCTGTCTGCCCGAACCTGCGGGGCAGCACCCCAAATCTTCGCGGAGACCACAGGGGTTCGTCCATTGTGGTCGTACTGTAGTTGACAAGGAGGGGAGAGTGAGTAGGGAGAGGGTGGGGGGGGAGAGAATGGGGAGAGGTGAGTGGAAAGGGGAAGGCAGAGATCAATGCGGGTAGGACACTGTGGTCGCACTGTAGTATGGGGTTGAAATTGGGGGCGGGAGGGGGGAGGGTGGAGTGGGTGAGGGAGAAAGGAGAGAAGTGAGGGAGAGAGTACATATGAGGGTAGCGGGAGGAAGGGAGGTTGCTGTAATCTATTCAGGCAGCATGAAAAATAAACGGTGAGTGGGTGGCATCTGGCACGGGTTGAAGAGAGATGGTGAGGAAGGGATTCCCTACGAGTGGTTGAGAAAGACGAACAACGGTGAAGAGGGATTGAGGTCCAAAGATGCTAATCAGAACTTTACACAGGCACATATGTCTCCTAATGACGAAAAAAAAACCGAAACAAACGACATCGATAAGAGGCATCAATAAAAGGAGACGCTATAAGAAAGAGACGTACGTGGATATGACTTTAGAGTCGACTCAAAAGTCAGCTACATACATGGATATCCCCGAGTAGCAGACCCATGATTTCCTCCGCTTCCGTGGAGAGCGCGTGCGTGGCGCACGTCAGCCACACTTCTGACGAAACCACCACCTCCGTCAGCGACATCGCGGCGAGCGGTTACCAGCTGTGCAGAACACGCTACGGCGGGTCCAGAACGTGCGATTACACGTGCGAACGGTTACCGACTGGATGTCGATCGCCGTGCGACACTAGTACTCGTACGCTGCATACATACTCGTACGTTGCTAAGGTACGTTACTGAACAGCACGCTAGCACGACAATCCCCGAGAACGCTCACATGTATTATGCTAGACGACTGCGCAATTTGTGGACAGCTGATGTATTATGCACATCAACTATCACCAGCGGGATTTGTCGACACCTGGAATTCGAAAGCCGTAGCTAGTTTTCGATATCTATTCCCAAGAGTTATTACAAGGCTATTATCTAGAGTATAATATCTGGACCACCAAAATCGAGTATTCCAGTTACACTCTATGCAAGCTCCACTTTGCGAAACCAACAATTGGATTTCGTGAATTCGCAGGTTGTGTGCCAAATGCTGCTGGCTGACATTTTCAGTCAAACCATCGGGGTGAGGGTCGCAGATTTGGTCTTGCTTCTAATAGCGGAAGCTACTCTGTTAACGAGTTCCTTTCGAACCGCTGGGGCTTTCCGATTAGTCATCCATCGTTACAAGCACTATCGGTGTCACGCATCGCCTCACGTCCTGGTGTTGCCATTTGCCGCATTCCTTGAAGTTGGGGCCGAAACGTTGGGCTGCGTGAAAATGAAAGGGCCGTCCCAATATTTGATGCGGGCCGTTCCCCAAATGAACGAGCTCCAGGATTGATGGAGCACGAACACTCGCATATTCTGAAGATGTTTAAAATCCTCGTAAATTCGGTTGAGCTCGTAAGCGTTTCGTTACTGGACCCTCGAGCAGCGTTGAATGTAACCCATGAATAAATTCCGTAGGTCCTCACTGCATCCTCCCTCACGCCCGTCTAGTCCTGATCGCTGCGGGGCTATCAGCCCCTCTGCGCTCCGTATTAGCCAATGGTTGGGCTGAGCCTTTCGCGCTTCGATTTCACCAGCCATCAAACCAAACCGCGCAAAGCTGACAGCCCCTCCTCGGAAGTTCTGATTTGGAACAGCCCCTACCGAAATCCCCCTTCGCTGGTTCGCCTTGCCTCGCCCTACCAGCTTCTCTGTCTAGGAGCAAACCCACATAAATCTGCGTTTCTAGAATCCAGTAGCCATCAGTTCTGCCTGCGATTCAACATTTCTTATCATTCAATCACCCTGCCTAGTGCTAAAGTACTGGCGGCCTCACCAAGACAGGAGATATCTTACCTTTCCCTCCAATCCTGCGAGTCGCCGCTGACCTCTTATAAGCTCTTGCTATTTCTGAAGATGGAGATTGCTTGGATGAAAAAGGCTGCGATATGGACATTCGCTGGACTGGGCCTAGCGCTGGCCGTCATCTCCTGCTGCGAGATGGCCGACAACTATTTCGTTCTTACCCACCCTGACGCCTGCATTGCTTCATCCAATGGAACCCACTGCGCGGCAGAATTTCGCGTAGCGCGGCGATCACTAGGCGTCGTGCCGCAGACGCCGGAGCAAGTCACCTCAGCCATGATCGCAGCGGTGCAAGCGCAAGTCACTGCGCTAATCGCGGCGGCCGACGAGATTAAGACAAACAACGTGCGGGAAGATCATTTCACGAATGTCATGGCGAGGAGTTGCGCGCGCCAGGCCACCATCGCGCTGCGCTACCTGGGGCAGGCGGGGGATGCGGTGGAGGCGGGCACGAATCAGCTCGACGTGCCGTACTGGCTGGCGGCCGCCGATACGCAAATTGACAATTGCGTCGATGGCTTCCAGACTTTCTCGCCCGCCGCGCAAGGCTTCCCCGCCTACGTACATCTCGAGGTTGGTTACAACTATTTCAATAAAAAAGCTTTCGGATGCAACGTTCGCACGCGCTGTTTTTTGCAACGATGATTTCTCACCTGGTTTTTTGTTTCTATGAAAGAAGTTCTCAACAACAACTTCCCAATTATATTCCTTTCTGAATCCCCGTCCCCATCTCCGCAGTATACGGCTAAGAAAGCGGGCAGCACCCTTGACGCCCTCTTATCCATCACCAACGCTGCCGCGAAAGCCGCCGCAGCCGCCGCTGACAGCGTCGCATCAACGGAGGAGGATGTGGCGCCCGTGCGCGGACGCCGCATGGCCGTCCGATCCAGCAGCGCGGGAAACGGCGCGTTGGATTGGCTTGAGGCGGGCTTGTACGAGCAACTGCAGGAGCTTCAAACGAGGCTGAACGCCGAATTCGCGGCTGCGAGCGGGGAGTATTCGGAGGGCGGTTCTATCTCGAGGAGGCGTCTTCTCCACCACCACCACCACGACCATAACGACAACAAGGATAGCAAGAGCACAAGCAGCAAGAGTAGCAAGAGTAGCAAGAGCAGCAAGAAGAAGGCGTCACCGAACGAGGGTCCGATGGTCGTCAGCGCGTCTCTCGCGGCCAGCGCGACCGTCGGATCCGGATACAAGTCGATCCAAGACGCTGTTGACGCCGCTCCCGGCGGAACGCGATTCGTGATTTACATTCCCGCGGGAACGTACAAGGAGCAGGTTGTCATCTCGACGACGGACATCGTTCTGATTGGTGCGGGCGCGGGTAAGACGATCATCACGGGCGACGCGAGTTACGGCAGCGGATCCGGGACCTTCGAATCGGCTACAGTTGGGGTGGATAGCGACAGGTAATGCCGCCCTTTCTGTCCTTACCTCCCTCCCCTTTTCTGCCCATTTCTCTTTGCCCTTTTTCTGTCATTCGTTTCTGTTCTCACGCACAGCTTCCCTCGCTTCTCTTCCCGCGTCGCCTCGTCGTATACCCACCCACCTGGTAACCACACAACAGGTTCGTCGCCTTCGGGATAAAGTTCGTGAACACGGCAGGGCCCCAGAATCACCAAGCAGTTGCGTTTCGCGCCACTGGCGACCAAACAGCTCTTTTCAACTGCGCGTTCGACGGATCGCAAGATACATTGTATGTGGACGCGGGCCGGCAGTACTACAAGAATTGTTACATCGGCGGCTCGCAGGATTTCATTTTCGGCGACGCGGCGGTTGTTATCGACGCGCCGAAGATTCAGCTTCACCCGAGCCCCTCTTTCGGGACCCTAACGGCGTCGGGACGGGCCAAGGACACCCCGACGGGGATTGTGATTCGCGACGCTGTTGTCTCGGCGGACAAAGGCACGACCAAGGTGTATCTGGGCCGTCCGTGGAAGAAATGCGCCTTCACGGTTTTCATCAACGCCTTTCTCCCCGCTGTACGTTTCCTTCGGTTCCCGTTTCTGCCTGCGCGGTTTCCGTTTCCGT